TCACCCCCGAGGACCCTGGCCCATCACCACCAGCAGGTAAAGCCCCCCAGCCCCGGCCACCCGCACCATCACTAACCCCCGACCCCTCATTCCAGGAATAACCTTGAAATCATCATCACCATGACCCGCCGAACGTTGTGACTATTCCAGAACCTCCAGAAGATGTCTTCGCCCCAGATGGACGCCCAGAGGACGGATCCCCAGGTGTCAATCGTTGGAAAGACCCCGCAGCCGGTCACCCTGGAGGACGTGTCTGCCAGCGCAAGGCCCCCGACGCCCCCGGAGGCGCCCCACGTGGACCGCAGGTCCCCAGAGCCCCCTGCGGTCCCCCCGAACCCCCCGCCAAATCCTCCGAAGCCAGATCCCCCTCCGAATCCCCCCACGGCCTCACTGAACCCGATTAAAACAGCCCCTGCGTCCCCAATCATCCCCAGGAGCAAATCCCCAGGTGGAAATCCCTGGCTGAACCCTGGGGACCCCAGGCCCCTGGAGCCAAATCCTCGCCCCAAGACCCCAATCCCCAGACAAGTGAGCCCTCACCCCCTCTCTGACGACGAGACTTACGACCCTCCGTCACGCTCGAGGACTCCCGTCTACCCCAGGGTCGTCCCCAGCTCCAAACCACCCCCGGAAACTCCGAAGGCCTTCGCCCTCGACCAAACCCCCATTTCCTTGATCAACGATCAGCACGAGGTGGAGCTCATCCCCAGGAGGCGCTCCGAGGAGAAGAGGAGTCTGAGTCTCGGGGATGTCGACGACACTGTCACCATCACCAAGGTCACCAAGCGTTCGAAGGGGGTGGAGAGGCCGAAGACGCCGGTGACGAGGACGGACACTCCGGTGCTGAGGCCCAGGACTCCCGTGGAGAGACCCAAGACCCCGGTGTTGAGGTCCAGGACTCCCGTCGAGCGGCCGAAGACACCCGGGGCCACGGGCGAGAGGACGAGGCGGAGGAGCGCTCTCGGGGAGCGGGAGATGGGGGGCGACGAGAGGATCGAGGGGGAGGGGGAGGAACGACGGAGGAGGCGGAGGAACAACCGCGATGGGTTCTGCTGGAAGTGCCATAAGGACGAGGTGGAGATCGCATGCAGCACTTGTGTCAGGTAAGGAGGGGG